CCGTGGGCACACAGGGGCAGAGGAAAGACATTGTGAGTGGACAAGAAATATGCAGTGACAAGTGCCATGAATCCTGATTCCTCCTCTTTCGTCTGCGTCCACTTCTGCCGTTCTCCTCCCCGTCACGGCGTCAGGTCAGTGCATTCTCATTCATTTCTCAATGGCACTTTTCGGGACGGGGGTACCGGAAGGAGTTTGCACGATGCCTCCAAAGGCCTAGAGCGGACGTCTTTGCAGCAATATTTTTCGTCGGCGGACGGGACAGCGTTTACGGGGTCGTTCCAGTTGCAGAAGACATTCATCAATGGCACTTTGCAGTACGGGGGTACCGGAAGGAGCTCGCACCATGTCTCCAAAGGCCTAGAACGGACGTCTCTGCAGCAATATGTTTCGTTCTGCGCATTCAGCCAGCCGACTCGACAGCGTTTACGGGGTCGTTCCACTTGCAGAAGACATTCATCGATCATCAATGGCGTCCACTTCTGCCGTTCTCCTCCCCGTCACGGCGTCAGGTCAGTGCATTCTCATTAATTCCTCAATGGCACTTTGCGGTACGGGGGTGGCGGAAGGAGTTCCCACGATGTCTCCAAATGCCCAGAGCGGACGTTTTTGCAGCAATTCTTTTTGCCCTGCGCATTCAGTCCGCCTACGCGACAGCGTTCCAGGTTGAGAAGACATTCATCAATGGCACTGTGCAGTACGGGGTACGGAAAGGGGCCTCCTCGTTCGACGTCGTAAACTTCTGCAGTTCTCCTTCGCGTCATGTTAGGGGTGTCGAAAGGGGCCTCCTCGTCCGTCTTCGTCGACTTCTGCAGTTCTCAGCTATTTCGCGTACGCGACATCGACGTTTACCGAGTGGCATTGGCTCAAAGCAGACAGCTGACGGGGTCACGTGTCAAAAAAGTATCAACAAAGTGTCGACAATGTGTCGACCAAGTGTATACGGTAGCGGTACACTCAACGGTACACTAATGGTATGGTATGGTATTGATTTATTCGAATTCGGTAATCTCAACAGCACAATGTACAACTTGGGAACATTCAAATGACATAGATACATAAACATAAAAGTGGAGTGGGTGCTACAGCTGATCATTTTATCGCAGGTCGTGGGACTAAACTAATACCAGTATGCAAGTACACAAGAAATAAAAGCTGAATAAATACGACTAATTCTCGTGCCATTCTCGTTTCACAAAACTGGAACATCGAGTACCAGTATTGAAAGGCTTCAGACAGGAAGCCTTTCCAATAAACCCAAATACGCACACAGACTTGTACACAAGTACACACAAACCCAAAACACGCACACACACAAAAACCCACGCACCCTTATATGCACATCCATCACCATAAATCCTCATCATACTGTGAATACAGAGTAAACGGAGCTGACATAGAGCTGGTGCAATACAATTGACAAACAATACCAATGAAACACACCGCGTGACGAGATACTCTGTCGAAATCACGAGTTGGAGATATACTCAGAGGAGAGGAAGACAAATCGATGATACTGTGGTATTCAGTAAAAAAAAAAAAAAAAAAAAAAAAAAAAAAAAAAAAATAGGGTAGAGCACAACACTGGTGTAGGGCAAGCAAGTGATGACGTACATGTAGATTGCAGGCCATCAGTTTCTTATAACTAAACATTGTGGGTGAATTTGCAATGACGCTCATAGCAGCATAATTATCAAGAAAGATAATGTGAACGAACAAGGACGTGAAAAGGACGATTATGGGCAGAGGGAAGTTATGACGTGTGAAGAAATGGCATCGCATGCAATGGGTCTGGACGAACAAAAAGCAGACACCACGCCGAAACGATAGATGTACAGCTTCTGTGTAGATGCCGGGTGAGTACAAACAGACGTAGTGTGTATGTATATACATGTGTGTGTGTGTTTTCGCATGTGTGTGTGCGGGCGTGTGCGTCAGCGTGAAATGTGAAAGAGAGATTTCCGTGAGCCAGATCTGTAAATTGCGACTATCGCCCCACGTATCGCGTTGTGAGGGTCAATGCTAGGTGCTTTGTGCTAAGTAATAGACAGAAGATAATTATTAGACAGAAGATCATAACGTTTGCGTGTCACTGCTGTACCTAAAGCCAGGCGAACTCCGCATTCAACAACGATATATGCAATTCAGAATCCTTTAATTGACGTGTCTTAACCTCAAAATAAACAAATGCAAATTTCTCCATGTCCGCTTCATCTGAGTAAAACCCTAGGTTGCACTCAAGGCAGATGATCATAATACCATCGTCGTCTGGATCGGGATGCGTGTTGACAATACCAGGCAAAAGATTCATATGGAGTCCCACCTCTTGGCCTTGAAATATCTCCTTCACCTGTGTCATTGTTAAACACTCATAAATATCACAAGGGTTGTCAAGATCGCCAGCCGTGACGAATGTAAGTAAGAATCCAGGAAGAAAACGAGGAACTCCCCAGAACACATCTTGAGCGTTGTCCAACCTTTCAGCGGGACCAATGGGTGCGTTGCCTGTCAAATCTTGTAACGATAATTGTCTTAGAGATTGCCAGAAGAGGTGGGCAAACATGCCTGCTTGCTCGGAGGTTGGCAAAGTCTGGTTGAAGCCATTTTGATGTGCCGCCATTATCGCTAGGCGCTTCCAAAGCCTATTGCGTACACGACCAGAACGTAAAACTGAGATCTAATCTCGTTAGGCGCATCAAGGAATGAAAGAACCTCTATTAGTTTTCTACGCTTAGAGCGCTTCTCTGGTGTTGAAATTTGGTGAAATATTACCACTTGCACTACGCAACTGTGCAGTGAGCTTATAATCTATTTCATCATGTCCTTTGTGCTGTTAGCAATCCAGAATTCATCAAGTCAACCTAATCGTACACAGTGATGACAATGGAGAGGTTCCGCATAACATTTTTACGTTAGTAAAAAACGTAGTCGATCTACGGAAAGTCTTACGTAAACTGCATGCGGATCTGGGTTCCGCCATACGGAGTTTTCAAATCACGTAGCCGCCCTTGGCAACTCCGAACGCGGCAGTGTACGACCAGATCGACCTGGGGAGAGAGTCATAAATTTGTGCTAGCAGTCGTCAGACAAATGCTGTGAGAATCAGCCGTTCACACCCACTATCACTCGCTACTTCTTCTGGTGCGAAAATCGGTATGTTAGCGGCCTGTGTGCCGTCTCTAGGGAGATGAAATATATGCGCAAGCACATGAACATAATAACAAAAACTGAAGACGGACACGGGTGCAGTTTCCTAACCCTATTCAATTTGAGAGGAATTCAAAAATGGCACTATCACTTCCCTATGGCACATGTAGGTTTGCAACGGGCAAACCAAAGTTATCATGCCACAGAAGCACTCGTGGCCAGCGCCTCGCAGGCAGTCTGGAACTGCAATGTCATCGTACATCGTCTCCAAGCGTGGGAAAATGGCACATGCGCCAGCGTGGGACTCGCAGCCTGGCTGGCAAAGAACAGCAGCAAGACCTTTCTATGCAGATATTTTTTGCAGCCACGAGTGTGGCACGCGTTTTTCAAGCTCGTATCTTTTCGTTTTTTGGACATCCCAGCCGGCATCAGGCCGGACTGGAGATAGCTAGGTGGGTAGTAGTAGTAGTAGAAATAGTGTAGGATAGTCTAGATGGTTAGGTAGGGCCATGCAGGAACCCTTCGCCATGGGCGAGCTCTCTGCTGAGGCCGTGACGAAGCTGCTTTGCACCCTCCCGGGGATTGAGCAGGGTCTCCTTGCAGTGATGCAAACGCTGGCAAAGTTCGCGACCGAGGATGCTGATCGCGAAGCGCGTATGAAACGCAAAATTGGTGAGCTGGCAGCGGAAGTAAAAGATTTGAAGGAAGAGTTAGTTGTTTCAAAAAACTCCGCCATTGCCTGGATGCAGTCGAAGACGACGAGAAACAGCTCACCAGTTCAAGCAGACGTACATCGTACGCAAAGTAGTACAGGTAGTACCCGTGCCAGCAAACGCAGCGCCAAGCAAGCTGCAGCTCACATTGAACCCAGCAGCACCGTATCACGTACTGGCGTCACAAGCGCGGATCGAATGCCCCACGGCCCCCAGGCCCCAGGGAAGCGGTGGCTTGGCAAAGGTAGAGTGTTCTGAGTCACAGCCCAAGACAGATGTGACAGAGTCCAAGTCTCAGACAGATGTGACAGAGTCCAACGGCAAGCCAATCTTCCATGTTATCGAGGATGACCCATGGAAGCTTGTCTCCTCAGAACCACCCAAGAACAAGCGTGCCGTAGTGTACGTGGGCAATATCGCCACAGATAGCACTGAGAGCCACTTCAGGCAATTTATCAAAACCAGGAGTGAGTTTCTGGGCGCCTCTATTCCTGTCCACACCTGCAGTGTATGGCTGTCAGAAAGTGGGCGTGCTTCTGCCAGAGTGACCATCGATGCCACTTCATTCTAGACAGTTACAGCGCCGTACTTCTGGCCAAGACCCCTATACTGCAGGCCATGGAGGTTCTCTGAAACCAGCCCTGAGGGCAGCACCAGCAGTCGCTGCCACAGTAGCAGAAACAGCACCTCTGCAAGTGTTCTGACTAAACAGCAACAGCAACAGCAACAACAGCAGCAGGGCTCAACCTCCTCCCCGCCGCCGCCACCGCCACCACCGGCAGACATCATCTCCACTCCACTGCCTGGTGGCCAAAAACGGAGAAACTCCCACCTCTCCCCACCAGAGGCTGGAGACCTGAAGAGATCAAACGGATCTGCGTCACAACATGACCTACATGGTCACCAATGAAGCGCTTCCTCAGGCTCCTACTCACCAATGCTTTTGGCCTAAAGTCAAAGCTTGGTGAACTTGCACATGTTGCAAAGTGCTCCTCACCTGATGTCATCGCTGTTACGGAGACAAAATTCTCAACCGCAAAGGTCACTGACACTGAGGTCTGTCTGTCCGGATACGCTCCCCCAATCCGACATTACAGAAACGCTCATGGAGGCGGAGTTGCCATCTGGGTGAAATCAAACATGGCCTTCCAGCACCTGGACCGGTTCAGCACGGAACACCTCGAAGTGATATGGATATCTGTATCAACAGCTAGCCGGTCCAAGATTGTTATCTGTGCACTCTACCGATCAGGCTCCACAGCCGGGACAGACACCGAGCTGATCGAATACCTTGATACCCACCTAGATAAGGCCCGCAGCCACGGTGACTATGTTATCCTCGCAGGGGACTTCAATGTCCACAATGCAGCATGGCTAGGGAGCACCAAGACTACCTCGGCAGGAGAAGCAGCCGAGGAACTCTGCTATGTTCATGGCCTGGAGCAACATGTCAACATCCCCACATGTGGAGACAACACCCTGGACCTTGTGATGTCTGACTTCAGTGAACCGGCTCAGGTGAAATGCCATGCCCCACTGGGGTCCTCTGACCACGCTGTCCTCACCATGGACTTCCCTATCTCTGCGTTCCGTGAACCAAAAACCACACGCACTGTCTGGCGGTACAACCAAGCAGACTGGAACCGCCTCTGTCACTTTTTCCTAGCCTATGACTGGTCAACTGCCTTCACCACCAGCGCTGATGAGTCGTGCGCTAACATCACCGAAGTTATCCTCCAGGGTATGTCACGTTTCATCCCATCCCGGCAACTCACATCCCGGCCGACGGATCCAGCTTGGTGGACCCCTGAGTGCACGGATGCCATAAAAGCAAAAGAGAGGGCTTGGGCTACTGCCAGATGGCAGAAGTCAACAGCAGCGCGACAGACAGCCTCAGCAGCCACTCTACGTTGTAATGACTTCTTCCAGCATGCCAAGGTGGCCCGCCTGGCTACCCTGTGCACTAAGCTCTCCAAAGCTAGCCTGAGTGACCGCTCGTGGTGGTCTACCATCAAGCAAGCAGGTGGCAGCAGCAGAAACACGTTCATCCCAACTCTCACGCCGCAGCCTGGTTTGGAATGCGTATCGAATGCCGAAAAAGCTGAGTGTTTTGGGCAGTATTTCGCCTCAAAGTGCAGCCTGGGCGCCGACGACTTCCCTGCCAACCAACCAGCGGCTGATTTCCCCCACGTTGCTCAGCGCACGGCTGAAAAGCTCTCAACGGTTCGGTTCCGCCCTGCCACTGTCAAGAGAGAACTCCAGCGCCTACAGCATGGTTATGCCGACATCCTGGAAGACAGCTAGAGTCACACCCATTCACAAGAAGAAATCCAAGAACCTGCCTCAACACTACAGACCTGTGTCTCTGCTGTCTATCATATCCAAATTGATGGAAACAATTGTCAATCGTCAGATAACCAGTTTCGTGGAGTCCCACAATGTCATCTCTGCGAAACAGTTCGGGTTCCGAAAGGGCCTGAGCACAGCCGACGTCTTAACCAAGCTCCACTGTGAATGGTCCAGAGCAGCCGGCCTAGGAGGAGCCGCCCATGTTTTGGCGATAGACATAGCAGGTGCCATTGATAAAGTCAGCCATGCTGGCCTGCTGCATAAGGCTTCCGTGTACGGTCTAGACGGCCCGCTTCTCAAATGGCTGGAAAGCTAACTGCACAACCGGCGCCTGCAGGCTGTTGTGGGCGGCCAAGAGTCCTCCCTGCACCATATCCAAGCAGGGGTACCACAAGGTAGCATCTTGGGACCAACGTTATTCCTCCTGTACGTAAATGACTGCGAGGACACCTTGCCTGCCGGTGCTGAGCTTGCCACGTATGCAGATGACACGACACTGTATCAGTGCATCTCTGCCACCGCCAGCATATCCGACTCTGCAGCACAACTCCAGGAAGCAGTGGACGCCGTCTCCCACTGGGGTTCCAAGTGGAAGGTCACCTTCGAGCCATCCAAATCTCAGGCCCTCATCATCGACCACCGCAAGCCTCCCCCAGGGTTCCCACCAGTGCTCTTCAATGAAGTGACTGTTCCTGAAGAGAAGGAAATTAAACTTCTGGGCATAGCATTCGACTCGCAACTGTCCTACGCAGCACACCTCCGGGCCATGGCCTCAAAAGCTGCCCAACGCCTACACTTCCCGAGAAAGGTTGCGCCCTTGTTGGACTCCAGCGGCCGCACGGCATTCTACAAAGGCTTCGTGCGGCCAACAATAGAATACTGCTGCCTGGTGTGGATGGGGTCAAGTACATCCAGACTGGACAAAATCCAGCACAAGGCACTGAAGGTGATGGGCCCTGGCGCCTGGCTCCCCAGCCTGAAACACCGCCGACTGGTTGCTGCGCTTTCGTTCACGTTCAAGCTGTCTTACCTTCCAACAACAAGCCCCCTGAAGCCCATCCTCCCACCTCCAGCCAATCCCCACCCAGTGGGTGATCGATCCACTAGGTTAGCCACGGAGACTGCCCACTGCCACCCGCTCCAGCTCAAGTCGACGCTACCCGTGCGCATTCGTAGCAGCCTCCAGGGTTCCTACCCAGACTGCATTATTCCCTTGTGGAACAGCCTACCAGCGACCATTCTACCAGCACGGCCGCAACTCAGCCAGCTCCAATCATTCAAGGAAAAATGCAACAAGTATCTGCTGCACCTGAACTGGCAAGCAGCCACCGACGCCCTATGAAACGGTTTAGACCAGTGCCTCACTAGCATCCTCCCCCCCCCCCCCTTACCACAATGTGACGTTATCTTTCACTCTGCTTCTCTCACAACCATCTACCCATTGTCCTTGTTTCTCACTATTATTCATTTCCCCTCTTCCTCCTCTCTACATGGTTTTACTGCATTATGGCGCGCTTTGTCTGCGTAGACGCCGAGACCTTTGAGGTCGGCAGAGCAGCCTGGCCCCGCCACCACTTCTCGCACATATTCGGGAATATAGTGGACTTTCGTATAAAAAAATGCAAACAACATTGTTTGAGAACCTTGGCTTGCAATATCAGCAGTGTTGTGTGAATTTTCTCACGCCCACCACAACCCACTTCTAAGTTCTAGCGCCTCCTGAAGGGGGGGGGGGGGAGCAAGCAAAGCCCCTCAGCTGAATGCATTTTGGAACAATTCTCTGCATGAGCTTTCAAGCACTGGCGGCACGCCCTGCCCAGCAGCAGGACCATATGGTCCCAGCAGGAGCATAGACACATTGTGTCCAGCAGCCGGGCCAATTGGCCCCAGCATACAGCAGGACCGTCCCGTTCCAGCAGTCACTTGACTACCTGCGCACAGCCGAGCCCCACATTGGCACAGCAGCATTAGTTAGGACCACATGGTCCCAGCAGGACCAGCTGGTCCCAGCATAGACACATTGTGTCCAGCATCCGGGCCAATAAGCCCCAGCATACAGCAGGACCGTCCGGTCCCAGCAGTCATTTAACTACCTGCGCACAGACGTGCCCCACAAGGACACAGCAGCATTAGTTAAGACCTCATGGTCCCAGCATAGACACATTGTGTCCAGCAGCCGGGCCAATTGGCCCCACCATACAGCCGGACCGTCCAGTCCCAGCAGTCATTTGACTACCTGCGCACAGCCGTGCCCCACAAGGGCACAGCAGCATTAGTTAGGATCATTGGCCTTAATCTCTTGCACTGCCTGCCATCTACCAGCATTGCAACAGAATTTTCTCCAATCCCGCTTTGCGGGGCCGCCTGGTATAAATGCATTGTTGCAAACAATTCGCAGATTACAAATTCTGTTACAAAACACTTGATATGATCCAGCCGCAGCAAGTCGGCAACCCCAACTTCCACTTGCTCGATGTGCGGGTGGGTGATAATAAATTTTTGGTTTTATCACAACTGCAGCACGTTTTCGCCAAATTTTGGATGTAGGGCTGTAGTATCGAATGGCACGCGGAAATCCAGATTCATTTGTCCATACTAGTTGGCTGTGCCATTTGTCTGGTTTCAATTCACTTCCCGAGATGCAGAGAAAGATCTGCCTCTGCTCGTATTCAGGTAGGTATAAGATCATACTACTAGTATCCGCACACACGCATAGATATTATATATATATAATATTATACTCAATCTGCGGACAGAACTGTTTCGTCCTTTGTGGACTCGTCAGCGCAGCACAGAGGAAATGAGGCCGAACCTGATAGCAATGGAAATAAAAATTTCCAATCAGGCCCGAACGTACCTTGCCAGAGTGCTCAAACTGACAAGTCAGTGAAACAGTTCTGTCCGCAGATTGAGTAATATATATATAATATTATATATATTACTCAATCTGCGGACAGAACTGTTTCGTCCTTTGTGGACTCGTCAGCGCAGCACAGAGGAAATGAGGCCGAACCTGACAGCAATGGAAATAAAAATTTCCAATCAGGTCCGAACGTACCTTGCCAGAGTGCTCAAACTGACAAGTCAGTGAGCTCTGCATAACGCAAACAGCAAAGGCACTACCCCACGCAAGAGTGCTCAACTGCTACAAGAGCAGGAGCGAAATACTCAATCTGCGGACAGAACTGTTTCGTCCTTTGTGGACTCGTCAGATATATTATATATATATATAATTTAGTAAGACTATGCCTGTAGCTGCAGAAAAAGTGCTCAACATCCAATTTCTTGGGGGAGCAATGACACATGTCAACAAACAATGGATCACTCGTAATATTTCGCTACTCCGAGTTTCATGCACTGTGTGCAATCATCAGGCAAACAATATTCAATGCAGACTGGTCAAAGCATAATGGGAATTTAAGGTGGATGCAGGCGGAAGCAAGTGTAAGGCTTAGCGGGACCCCTGATACGTAATCAATGGGCTAACTTGCCGGCTGAGAAGTGTGTGAAGCTGAGTGCTAGATGACTATAGCATAGTGGGACAGTGCAATTTGCCAAGGCGCTAGCTGTTGGATGCCTGTACTACAGCAGAGCCAATTTGCAGTGGGCGGGGGGGGGGTGGGTGCTAGCTGTTGGATGCCTGTACTACAGCAGAGCCAATTTGCCAAGGCGCTATCTGTTGGATGCCTGTACTACAGCAGAGCCAATTAAGTCCGACGAGTTACAGTTAGGTGCAATGGCGGCACTTGCCTCTTTGGTTGTGTTAGGATTCAGGTGTTGGGTGCTGGATGCCTGTACTACAGCAGAGCCAGTGAAGTCTGAGGAGTTACAGCTGGGTGCGACGGTTGCACTAGTCTTTCAGGTGTGAAGATTCAGGTGCGTGCTGGATGCCTGTACTACAGCAGAGCCAGTGCCACACCAGGACATGCCTTGCTTAGCAAAGCATACTGGATGCCTGTACTACAGCAGAGCCAGTATGCGCTATTTGGCTAAGTCACACCTGAATACTTACTCAGCTGGTATCTAGTGCTGTGCCGGCATTTGGCGATGAGGTCACACCTTGTGTTCAGGAGGGTTGCTTTGTCGGCCGTGATAATTTCTAGCTTCTCTGTTAGACAGAGGTTACAGCGCTTAGTTGTTGGGCTGTACGACTTGGCTCTGCGCTTGACGTTCCATGACACGTTGTACTCCTGACCCTGGTTTTTGAGCGACCAAACGTAGCTTGACAGCTTGGTGGAGTTGCGGTATTTTTCGTGCCGCATTGAGGTCTTGTGATTGGCGTGACGAAGTTTGAAGGGCGTCTCAGCCGAACCAATGTAGTACTTATGGTCGTTTGCGCCGCCCACGGCTGCTTCGTACACGACACAATCGGTCTGGCATGCTCCACGCAGCGGGCAGTTGGCCTTGTCACGGCAGTTGCACGGCTTTTCTGGAGGGGTGGGGTGCAGCTTAGCTTGGTTGTGTCCCTTGATGATGGCAGAGACGTTCGGGAGGCAGCTGTAGCTAATCTTGATTGAGTTCTTGGGAAGATTTTGCCGAGGGGGGAACCTGCAGGGAAATGTCGCCTGATGAGTTTTAGGAAGACTGCCCCAACATTTGTCTTGACATTTTTGCTGTATGGTGGGTTGAACCATATGATGTTTCTCTTTCTCTTCTTTCTCTTCTTCTCCTCGGCCCGTGCCATGCCTTCACCTTCATCAGCGCGGTACTGCATGGCCGGCAGGAATCCACTCTTGGAAAGTGCGGCTGCGTATATTGGTTTGGCCTCTTCAAATATGTCCTCACTGGCCGAGATTGATGTCAGGCGCTTGTTGATCGACTTTGGTAAGTTTTTGATGATTGTTGGCGGGTGGTTGGAGGCCATGTTGAGATACAGGAGAGTGTCGCCGGGTTTCCTGTATGGCTTGTGGGTTCCTGTTGTTAGATCCAGCGTTACGTCTAGGAAGTTTGTTGTC